TAATCTTGTAGTTCAATAATTTAATGTGTTTCACATTTTATAAATATTTAATAAATAATGAAAAATAAAAAAAAATACTGTGTAATAATGCTTGATGTTTACTTTTGCCCTTTCCTGTCCACCAATCCACCAATCTATATCAAAGATTTAAAACTAAATGAACAAGACTTATCTTATGTAAAGATCAAAGGCATCCCTCAACAATATAGAATTAAACACTTAACAAAACACCAATGAATAGGCATTCAATATCAAAGGTTGCCTATAAACGTAAGTGATTGACACAAATTAACACTAGATGTTCACAACTAAGATCAAAGAATAACACAATGAGACAATAATATACTAGTAACATGTGTGACCATTTATGTCAATTCTGTGAATATAGTTATGAGAAACAAGTTAGTAAGTCTTCCGTATTCTGCAAAAGTATTTCCTAAAAGAGTTTTTTTCCTAGGGTTTTTTTCCTAAGGGTTTTTTTTCCTACACTCCTGTCGCCATCTTGACTACACGTCCAGTCTTTCAGCGTGAATGCACGTCTACCTACGTTATACCCTGTTTTTATTAATAATTTCAACAAAATAACTCGAATACTTGTGTATAAATGAGGCACGATTGTCTTTATTATTTTATTTTCACTATTTTCGGTTTTTTGTTAGCGTTTCTTTTACGTGACGATCAAGAAAACGCAAATCGTCGCTATTTTCGATGTTGATGCTCGGGCTCTGAATCACACACACACAGTTGTTAACATGAATTGCTGTGTCTACTGCATTTGGATCTTCTTCACTATCATTTCCACCGTCATCAAAATCCGAGAAAAAAAAACATCGAGCAAATCATCTACACACGGGAACTCGTGATCAACAACGGCCATTTAGAATACCCATGGAATACCGTAGGCGACTCTCGTCAACGAAATTACGCATTTTGTGAGAGTTCACGACTCTCGCCGCCTAAAAACAGACAGTTTTCAAGACGGCACTTTCTTCATAGTAAACAGATGTACCCGTAAACCAATTTTTGT